TTATTAAAAGGGGTCCCTTTATTTTAATATATAATGGTGGTACTTATATAATATAGGTTTCATTATATTCTGCTGTTTCCAGCATACAAATATTCATTCTGTAATCCAAGCCCTAAAAAATGTATTATAAATTGTAAACATTAATCATTCATCATAACTTCTTACTTAATAAACATTATAGAATGTAAAATAATGTTAATATTACTATTCTAAACGATAAAATTGATACTATTTTGAAATATTATACATGAAAATCACATTACTGGCAGTTATTTGTCATTAAGGATTTTCCATAATACAACCCTATATATGTACACAAAACAATAAACAAATAGATGACCGCTAAAATATTTTCTTAATAATTTCACGATTTTCTTACAATCTGTCTCTAGTAAAAATAATATTATATAAACTACAAAATTTTGTTATTGACTCGTAGCGGAAACGGAAAAAATATTCACTCGTATATCTTCTGCCATTGTCCCGTGGATATTGGTTCCGGCGTTTAAATAATAGATGGCGTTGTCAGCAATAAATCCAACGGAAACCGTCCGGACACCATATTGCATTGTTAGTTTTTCCCGCCTTTAAATGTAGTTTGCGAATGTTTGAGTTCACAGTCCATTATATAGCTGTATGAGTGACATATTTGTGATATCTCCTTTCATTTCTATTGGCAGAATGTTCTTTATTGAATTTTATTGTTTTCAAAGCCAAGTTGAGCTCAAGGCAGTAATTGCAAAATGCTTGCTTTTAATTTTATAGATTTTTCTTAAATAATCTGTGACATAAACTGGATCTTCATTCAAATTAAATATATTAATAGGATAACAAAATATCAGAGTTTCTAGCCAGTTCCTTTCAACTGAAGTAAGTAATTTAATTTCAATGATGGGCAAAAATATTTCATATAATATATGTGAAATGATTATTTTGAATGTGACTTTGATTTCATGAATATTTCTGTAGTTAAATAAATAATTAATAATAATATATTATTACTTAATAGTCAGTATCGAGTTGAGATGAAATTATTATTATATCTGTACTTCTATAGTGGTACTAAAGTACCTATTAGACTATAATATTTGTCTGTAATCGAACTCATGACCTTCTGCTTTTGATATTATATTTTATTTTATCTCAGGACAATTTACATAATTCTATCCTAATCCCAAGCTAAACAAAGCTTGTGTTATGGATACTGGACAACTGATATCAATACGTAGAATCATTTTTTTTGTATATAGATACATAATATAGATAAAAAACACAGAAACCGATACAAACAATCATACTCAAGAATATAAATGTTTGTATCGTTCGATGAATCGAACCTGCGACCATCGGAAACAAGGTAGTGTACTTAACCGCTAGACAACCGAGGCGTCATATTGGATAGTAAACCTTCAGATTTGTTGCGAATACGTAAAGAAAGACAGTTGATTGATCACAGACATCGTAAACATATTTTATATATAAAAATATGTTTTACAGTTTGTTTTGCTCATTAGCGCAGAAAATTAGAACACATCAAGGTCATTTTTTTTATTATTTAGTCAAAATAATAAAAAAAATAGGTTATATGAAAATGGAGCGTGCAACGAATTAACCTGAATATTTAAGAAACTTTGCATTTTATTATAGAAAATAAAGAAATTTTATTTACATATTAAGGACAATAGTAATTTTAAATAAAATATTACTTTTATTTATACTATATAATAGATTATTTTTAACAGAATGGTCCAAATAAAAATAACAGTGGAGTTTCTTTTCTTCTTTATTGAAACTGTTACTCAACTGCATAATATTAATTTTATATAATAAAAAATAATGTATTGTAGTATTAAGATACATATATACAATGAAACATAATATCTAAGTAATATATTTATATATCAGATTTAACACAAGGAAAATTGGAAAAAATGTCGTATTATTAGATGACCTGACCATATCCTTTACCTTACGTGTATTTAAGTACTCGATTACTAAAAGCTGTTATAAATCCGAAATTCCTTCATTGAAGACAACATTAACCATTTTGTAAACTTTGTATAATAATAAAAATCTTTATGAAATTCACTACCTTTACCTACTATTATCTGTAAAATGGAGGCCCCACTGAAAATCAGCGCAGATTTTCAGTATGAACATTATGTCCTACTGAAAAGATTTATACTGAGCGGGAGTCACTTCTGACGTTTCTAAATTAGACTTCATTGTTATGAAATAACAATAGTGTATTGTCAACACTATAATATAAAGGAATATTCTTATACTATTACATCCAAATTGGCCACTTCAATACAACACGACTACAATAAACATTTAACGTTTTATACAGACAAATAAAAAAGATTGGTATTAAAAAGTGAAAAGAAAAATGAAACATTGCTTTGAGCTATAAACCCTTTGTGAACAAGGTTCGTAAGATTTTAGCTTTTCTATCTCGATGTTGACAGCTACGATGTAAAAAACGCTTTATTTGTTGGTGTATAGGGTGCAGCTAGACCTTTTGCGAGCAACGAGCGAGTTATACAATCATTTCAATATTACAAACGATGTAGCAAATTATAGTGCATTTGATTTTTTATTATTTTATTTATCCTTTAACGGATATGCACAGTGAACTGCGCGCATACAGCCATGTCTGCATGTTTTTGATGTTCTAAGCGGATTCGAATTTGGAACGAATGGCAAATCGAAAATGTTTCGACATTTGAATTTACAAACTCATTAGTTACTATTATATATTTGAATTCGTTTATCCGTAATCATGGCGGTTGAAACCATGTCGAAATATCGAGAACTCAATAAAAATGAACAAAATTTGGTAAGATCCTATGGTTTTTCCTAATTGTACGTATAATAATGACCGCTACAAAAAAAAACCAATATGTTCTAATAATGAGTTACAGTAAAGTTGAATTTCTTGCCAATTCTGAATTGGGAACGGTAGAGAAAAATTTTATACAAAAAACTTGATGTTCATAAGCGGCTAAAATGTCCTAAATGAAGAAATGTATGTGATTTGAATTGATTGGATATGATTTGTAAAAAATGGATGTAACTCATATTTAATAATATTTATATAGTTCAATATTTGAAAATTCTTTCTCGCCACAGGTCTGGCCGCTCCATGACTACAACACGTCGTAGTTACGCTTGTACTGCACTATTAATTTTTATTTCACTGTTTCATTGCATTCTACTGTGAAATGTTTTGTAAGCTTAATAATTTCAATAATATTAATTGTAGCATGATATACTAGGTTTGTTACTGGTTGTTTACACACCAGCTCACGCGTTGACCGGAGCGCGTTTATTCTTAAAAACTTTACCTTGTGTTCTTAAAAATAAAAATCTTGACCGTTTGACTTGAATTTTTTTGAGTGGTTAACGATGGAGACCCGAAGAAACCTTCGATGAAATTTTGGTCTCTATCAGTCAAGTAATTTCAGAAGAATATCATTGCAAAGAGTGCAAATCTGATATCTAAGGTAGCTCAGCACTTCACGCTCCGCTGAATGAAATAAATGGTCTCAGAAACAGTAGGTTCATACTAAAAAAATCAACGTATCACATGCTATTTAGTTTCAAAATGATCAGAAAGAACAAAGATTATATATATTTTTCTATATTCGCTTCATTTTTGGGGGTCGCGAGTTGGATTTGTTATAGATGTATGTAGTTGTATGATCTGAGTATATATTATGTAGGTATTTATAATAAAATTATTTATTTGAGACATATATTAGAGCAATATTTCCCAATCTTTTTTTGTACCATGCACCTATTCTTATGCACCACGCTACCTTAGCCGTTCTAAAATTCTTATGAGTATATAACATACAATAATATTAAAAAAAAATTACTCTTAAGACATTTAAATAAAAGTAAAATCTAAGAAATTATTAATGATACAATAAAAATTGTTCAAAACAATGAAAAATTTCATTCACTTTCCATAAAATTTAAAAAAAGCGTATATTTTCGAATTGCCCCTCTTAACAATCAAATTGCCCCCTGGGCGTGAACCTCACGTTGGGGAACACTGCATTAGAGGCTTAAAGGAAAATTTCTGCTCAGTTTGAAACTAGATGGTACTATGTTGTACGTAAAAGGTATACAAAAATAATATACCAGACATAAGGTAAACCCTTCCTAATACAAATTGATTTTATTTAATCTGTATCACATATATTTACAATATAATAATAATAACAAATAAGTGAGAAAGTTATATGGAAATGAATAATTAACTTTCATATATATATAGTTATATTATTGAACAAACCTTTCCGTTTATCTAAAGTTATTTAAAACAATATTGTACCTAAACCAGTTAGTTTCGAATTTCATTAGGTACTTTGTGATCCCACCCCTCTACTGTAAATTTTATTAGAATTTATAATCTGTAATAGTTTTTTTATTGCGAATCTGGAGACATGCTACAATTAATAGGCTAAAGAAAACCAACTTAATTAAGTCCATATAAAATAGCGAAGGTTTATGAGGTCCCTAATGGCCCCATTCAGCTATAAAACACATCAGGGTATCTCAAGTGGCTATCGCAAACTACTCCAAACTATCTCCTGTCACTTTTAATCGTGTCTAAAAATATAGAGACAAAAAACATTACACATTTTATTTCTCTATTATTAATGTAGTTTTAAGATTGTACCTTTCATATTCTTATTTAATTATATTATTAATGCTAGACTTTATTCAATGGATATACTTGTGAGCGATAAAGAGAAATAATCTTTGAGTTGCCTGTAGTTTACATTTAGTTTTTAGCTTTTTAGCTTTTCACGAATTAGAGATGCGAGAATGTAAAGATTCTGTTTAAATATTATTAATGTTTAAACAAAATTATGTAGTTTCGCCCACAAGTGTATAAGACTTTTTTTCTTTTTCTAAAGAATATCTTTTGTCTTATTCAATTTTATTGAATTGCTTTTAAGTTAAGATTCTGTTTTCTTTTCTTTCAGTCCAATCCTGGCAATCGCCGAGCATCATACTGTTCACCGTCAGGACGGAACCGTCTTCTCCCAGTGCCTTACCCAAGCCGTCAGTTTCTGGCAGATCACATTCTTCATTGCCATCATTATTCTTCTATATTTTCTGCCCCTTGTTATTCTAATCATTCTTTACAGTATCATTGCCAAAAACCTCATCACTGCCGCCTCTAAAGTGGTGATGAACAAGACTGTAGACCCTTATAATACTAGAGCAAGAAAACAAGTTATATTAATGCTCGGAACAGTAGTGTTGTGTTTCTTTGTATGTCTCATGCCGTACAGAATTTTAACATTATGGATTATACTAACTCCAACAGAGACTACTGAAGAGATGAGTCCAGAGAAATGGTATAATATCCTTTATTTTTCAAGAGTGATGTTGTATATAAACTCCGCGATAAATCCAATTCTCTATAATTTAATGTCGTCGAAGTTTCGGATCGGATTTTGTAAAGTTTGCATCTGCTGCAAGAAAACTTCGAATACACAAAATAAACGAGTACAAAGGACCGCGACCAACGGCTCGACGACCAGCAGCAGTTTGTCAAGAACTACGAACAGTTTGAAAAAACTGTTCACACAAAGAGGCAGCATAGACAGAAGCGAGACCGAATCGGAAAGTAAGGAAGGCGACGGTTTGGAAGCGAAAGGATTTTTCGACAAGATTTTCACAAAGAAAACATTTGTGAGACAACAGTCGGCACCGGTGTGCTCAAATATCGCTCCGAACAGAATAAATAGGATGATAAGCGAAGGGAATATGGATGTCTCAGATGTTTTAGAGGTAGATCGTAAAACAAAGCGAGTTGATATGAAAGAAGGCGATGCTGCAAAATTTATTGGACATTCCGATGTTAGTGCTAAAAATATTAGGTCAGATATTGAACTAGAACGGACCCACGGCTCTTTGAGGCGTAGTGTTTTAATAAACAGCGCGAAAGCAAAAAGCGTAGACTGTGACACTAATAAAAAGTTAATTGCGTACCAAAAGATGAAGGTCGACTGTGTGGTCGCCTTCCAAAAGTCGAAAAGCGTTGATTACGAGTTCCTGGAGAGTTTCGTGTGATTATTTATGTATGTAGATGTTTATAAGCTGTTTACTCACAAAGTCCTCTGTATATATTAGCTTTTAGCGGCCGGAGAGCTAAAGACTTGTTGTATAAGTTAGAACTTTACTGCCCTATCGCTTACAGAATATTTTAATAGACCCTCCTGTTGAGTTACATTCGAAAAATATTTTTTATTTTAGTCAGAGCCAATTTTTTATAACAATTACAACTTTCATTTGTCATATTGGAAAGTCAATATTTTTGTTTAATTTATGATTTTTTAACCACACTTTTCTATATTCACACTTTTTTATCCCTACCCAATAAATAAGTGTGTAGTATAAGTAAAATTTGTATTGGTCTGGGTTTTTTCATACGTAATATTATACATACATATAAATAAAAAAATGGAAAGTATAAATTTGTACATAAGTATTATTTAGTATTCATAGTACAAGCTCTGTTTAGGTTGAGACTAAATAACTCTCTATATGTTATACAGGTTATTTATATAGTAAAAGTCGATGAGGTATGAATGCTAGTAGGTACATAAATCAAGTAAATTATTGATGTTATTGATCATAAAATCATTCGTGTTCAAAATATACTGTCCAGATGTCCAGGAAAATATAAAATAGTCAGTAACTCAACTAAATAAACAGAATAAATCATGAGAAAGGATTACAAATATGTTTATAATTATAAAACCAGGTAGGATAGACAGAAGGATAAAAATAATAATAAAGTTTCAGTTAATAACTTCAGGTACTTGATATCTTCACTAGTTTGTACACTGTTTGAAGCTAAAACTTATATTATTTGTAATATAAATTTTTGTTAATTATATGTGAGGTCCTAAAAATTTAGAATTTATCTTTTACTAGCTAGCCACCCCGACTTCGCACGGCTGTGCATGTTTATATATGTATATATATATATAACACCTAATGGCATTTTCTACCAGTCAACCATGAGTTGTGCAGAGATAAGTTGTTGGCGGTGCACATATATATAAACCTTCCTCTAGAATCTCTCTATCTATTAAAAAAATATGTTTCAAAATCCGTTGCCTAGTTTTAAAGATTTAAGCACACATAATGACCGACCGCGATAGCGACTTTGTTTTATACTATGTAATGATGATGATTATTTCAACAAACTAAATCTTGTAAACACTTCGAGTGACATTAACATCAAATTAAATCAAATCAAAATATTTTTATTCCTGTAGATCTATTACAGACTCCTATGATACCTCATATGTATCGTTAGTTCGGAGTTCATTCGAGTTAGAAGAACTGACAAGAAACTCAGCTGCCATTATTTTCAAATACGCTTTTGTACATGTTTACAAAAACACAGATTCATTTTTACATTCAAGCAGAGTGACCACCAGCATATGGTATTGCAATTTTGTCAAAAGAAAAAAGTATAATCGGTCTCCGCCAGCTCCTAATTATTTTAGAGAAGCTTGTACATAATTACTTAATCCACATTAATTATTAAATTCAATATATGAAGGCTATATATTGTATTAATTCCGGATATGGTCATATTAATGGCCAGATTTGGTTCATATTTATTCATCCGTTTTTATAAAATTCTATATACAACTATATTATTATATATTAGTACAATTTATAGGATTTTGTGAGTAAACATCAAATGGTGTAGATGAAATTTATTAGATGTAACATAATATTTAATTAGACAAATATAATTAAAACATAAATTACAGTAGAATTTTGTAGTTTTCTTTTATAAAATAAAGTAATCTTGATTTTTTTTTCAGCAAATATTTTAAAGGTAAGTCTTTTATTTATTTTTTTGCATTATAGTTAGTAATGTTTATATACAGTTAGTGTAGTTTTTATTTATTATATAGAAGTAGTGATTTGACGCGAAACAGTGTGTGATCCCTAAAATGTATGATTTTTCTACACTTACTACTTTTTTTACCATATTAGAAGTTATATATATGTTTATTCTCTTTAGGTAGGTAATCAGCAATGTGTACCTATTTGACTACGAAATATAACTCTGTTGCATCCAATATATGTCATATATTCGACCAATTTCCTTTCGAAAACTTCTAATATGGTTAAGAAAGTTGTATTATAATGCCTAGTGAAAGTCAGCTGCCGTTCCGATGGAGAGCTGAGGAGCAACACCTTCGGAAACATGTAAAAAAATCTGTAGTCCTACCGGCTCTAATTGCTATCAACTTCTGGTTAAACCTGTATTTTAAAGGTAACAAATAGTCGATTATATTTCAGATGATATAATCGAATGAACATGCAAAAAATTAGGGATTTTTTCTCACTTCAATAATTGTCAGATGTTAGTTTATATTACAGTTTGAAAAAATAAAATAAAGCTAGCTGTAATGTGGTGCCATACCGTAAGAAAATAATAAACTAAAAAATCTTAAAGGCTTGCGGACTTTAAGACTTTATATTGATTTAAGGGGTGACAAAAAAGTTACTTAATATCATATCAATGTACTTAAAGTAAGGGATTAAAGCTTATTATATTACACATATCCACTTAACTTTGTATATATATATAGTTATCCAACTTTTTACAGTAGAAACTAAAAAGATTGTCATACGATTCATTTACTTTTATAAGGGACGTACTCATATAGATTTATCTTCTTCAACTAGGTAAATTCGTTCAGAACTCTCCGGGGAAATTAATACAAAACGGCGACATTACAGTTTATCTGCAACATTTCTTACTGTTATTAAAAAAATCAGTCAAAACAACAAAGATGCAGCTCTTCGTCTTGTTAGCTAAAATGAAATTATATGAATCATTAAAAAATACTTAAGTCTTAAGCCCGAGCTTATTGTTTCAGGCTTATAAGACGATAAAGGAGCCTGTTCCCAGTGCAAAATAAATTACAAAAAATCAGAAAACATAGACTATCAAACAAAAGTTTATTGTATAATAAAACAAAATTATATATTATACGTTATTTAATTATATGCAATTTTCAATTACAATAAATTCTGCATTTGGTATTATAATTTGTGTATTTGGGGACTTAAAGGATTTCATAAATTGGATGATTCGTAAGTTTCATCTGATAATATCAGAGCCTGCAAAACCGGGGTTACCGAGTCGAGCGAATCCCTACTTGAAACAAGTTTATAATTGAGTAACCATTTTTCAATTGAAATAAATTTTTACATTTGGTGACAAAACAATCTAATATATTATTTATAGAATTGTCATTGCTTTAGTGGTTTGGCACGCCGCTTTACTTCTGATGGTCGCGAGTTCCATTCCTCGTGCGGTGCATACATTTGTACTCATGAATATCAGTGTTTGTGTCGGTCTGTGTATTTTCTATGTATTTATTTACAAGAAAAATTAAGTATTTATATCAGTTGTCTAGTACCCATAATACATAGATTAATTCTGCATAATAGATTTCATAAATTGGATGATTCGAAAAATTTTTCAGACAAGATTGCAGCCTGGAAATTTCTCCGCTTACCTAGCAAATTACAACTTGAAAAATGTTTATAATTAATGAAACATTTTTCAATTAAAATAAATTCTGCATTCGATATTATAATTTCTCTATTTGGTGACATAAAAAATTTCATAAATTGGATGCTTCGAAAGGTTTTGTTGACAAGATTGCAGCCTGGAAATGTCTCGGCTTACCGAGTCGAGCAAATTCCTTGTTACATCATAGAAATACTATTGGAGTGCAAATTCTGCACATCCTTTGATTTCTATTTTAGAAGTCTCGTAAATGTGAAATGCCATGTCTTTTATATTATGCTGACCTGAATTTACAGTAATCCATCGCGTGATAGAGTCAGTTATTGTATCTGGAGAAACACGAAACTGCCAACCGAAATTTCGCTGATATTATTTTTCAACTGTCAGTTAACTAATATTAGAAAAACGATTTAAAGGTTTTCTACAATCTCCAAAAAATTGTTTAAACTTTAATGAACATTAATGGATTTACCATTAAAGTTCATTAAAGTGCTTAGAATCCTGGGCTATCTTTTGGGTGATTAAAGTGAAACAGCTAATGTTTTTTAAAGTTTTAAAAAGGTAAGGAAGTAGAACACACTACTCTATTTAGTATTATTGGACTAAATAGACCCTCAAAATATTTTAAAATTACAAAAAAAAAGAGGGAATAATCTGATTATTTGTAATGGATGATCTGACCAAATACTTAATCCATATATAAGAAAACTTAAACATTTATTATTTACACTAACAGCGAGAAAGATGTATTTTAATTTGAATTATGGATTTAATGGCACTAAAATATGGGTTCCTGTAATAAATACACACTAACAAATCTAAGGCTAGTAGTAATATTCATGTAAATCGGCAGACTCTCTCTTGGACCGGCGTAGTGCCTGGTACAGAAAAATTCTGTCCAAAATTTTAACTCTAAATAAGACACACAAAAACACGCACAACGCCCCGAATGAGAGGCCAATTGCGGAAAATGGAGTCCAACCTACAAGGCACACAGAAATTATCAGACATTAGCAATTTTGAGTAGCCACAAGAATTCGTTTGTCCGTCAGTACAGTTCATATACTGCATAACGTCCGGTTGGTTTCAAAACAATTTTCTAATAGTGTGCGGGTTGTACTACAAAATGTATGACGAGCGTGAATTCCAACATTCTGATCAAACAAATTTCAGACATCCCGATGGCGTGCATCCGACCTGCACCGTATCGTGCGTACGAAACATCGAAATTCTAACTATTCGCTAGTACAAAATTTATGTGGAAATGCCTCATCATGCCAAATTTCTGAACATTTTGATAATACGCGGCTGGCTTCTATTTTGCGAGCGCTGATATTGTAAGACACATATTCCATTTTACAATAGAAATGGAAAATATGTTAACAACACTCCAGACGCATTTGTTTTATTGGACACTCTAATGCTGTAGGCCTCAGATGGCCTTTACAGCTTCACCGAGGACGATAGGAGGCGAGTGCATCTTAGTGCGAGAGTATGTAGATGAATAGATCACGTAAAATTAATTGATGTATATTAAAATAAGTTACATAAACATGTAGTAATTGTACCAACCATTGTTGGAGGAAATAACATCTATAGCACAGGTATTACGGTCTATAATGCTATTGTATAAAACTGAATAAATATTGTTATTACTAAAAAAAACTACGCAAGTATTTCGCAAATAATTTTGTGGCATGCATAATATAAATGCGAAAGTGTGTAAGTATGGATGGATGTTTGTTTTTCTTTCACGCAAAAAGTACTAAACGGATTTTGATGAAACTTTACAATATCATAGCATATACATTACATTAACACATAGGCTATAATTTAAAAAGATATTATGTAAATTGGGCCATATGTAATTATAAATGTGAGGGAGACGATGTCGCGCGGGGCGGCTAGTATTTCATATACTACAGTTTCAATACTATTCATAACATCACATCTGTCCGATGCAGTTTGTAAGGATGAATGCACAGCGGGATAACTGCACTACGTCACGACATAGACCAAGAGCATGTGTTAGTGTTTCATCTACAGTATATGAAATATGTACATGTATACGTGAATAATAATGAATATAACATAGTAAACTATGACTATAATATAGAAAATACAAATTGAAATAATCTTTATTCAAATAAACTTAATTATAAGATAATCTTTTGAATAGTCATTAATTTTTTAATACTACCGCTCATTCGGAATTCAGATTCATCAACACAAGAACGAACAAGAAATTTGCGTGTTGCTCTTTTACATAAATGTTGGTCTAAGTATACACACATTAACAAGGATTAGGTATGCGACAATCAACATTGAAACCGCTACTCACGCAATCTCTGTGCAATTAGAATATTACTGTTAACGCTATGAAGTTAAAATTAGAATTTTTCTACAGAAACATTATTATCATTTATAGGAAACTACGGATGTCTAATATACAATATACTTAAACAGTTAGATAGTTTTGTTTTTTTTCTGATGGATTTCCGGTAGACTGCCAACGCGACTCCGGTAAAGGCGCTCGTAGGTACACAGTGTGGTTTTGGTGGGTAAACCACATCTCTCTCATCAAGAACACTCACGTCGTCTTTTGGAGGTTTATCCACACTATAAAAAAGAATATAGTTTTAATTTTACCATTCAAAACATTACATAAGAAATCACAAAGTAAAAATCACAAGTACTTCTTATCGTTAAAATCGACAATGAATTTGTAATCGATATTATAATAAATATTATATATTGATCACATTTTTTATACTTTTAAGTTACAAGTACACAGTGTATTTGTATTTAATATTGATATTACATCAAATATTTATTAGAATAAATATTTTTGTTTGTTCGTTAAGCGAAAATAACTTTTATAACTTTAAGGACGTTAATTTAAATGTTAAGTTATAACACATAATAAAAATATCAAACAAACATAAGTCAAGTTATAATTAGATCGTAATCATTAATTAATCAAATACGGTAATACATCCTGCATTACCGTATTTAATTATTGATTACGTAGAGAACTATATTTAATATAAAAACGAATATCTCTAATTCTAGAAGTAACCAATTTACTGACAAAAATTGTAGCTTGTACTAATTCCTTAATTAATTAATTAGCTTAATTTTCGATTAGCCCTTGGTCTAATATAACATTTACCTTGTATTCGAGGATTTAAGTTATGAAGTCTATAATTCTAAATTTAAACTAAATATTAGGGTTAAAATGAAATTCTTGAATAAACAAGTGGACTTGGGTCAAATACAACACACGATACTAAAACTGAAATTCACAGTTCAAAACTGCAATAAAATTAGAACGTGACATACATTATTACATATCCTATGTATTATTTTATAAGAATAATATAAAAACAATAGGTAAAATTAAAGTTATAATATTTTGTTATACAACAACAAAAACATTTAGTAAAAATAGTAATAATCTATCAATTAAATTTTATTTTCTTTTCCGCAGCCCTATCCTCGCTGTGGCGACTTTCACCTATGAAGAATACGAAGACGGGACGCAAGTTCCAGTCTGCCTCACGCAAGCCGACACCTTCTGGTCTGCACTATTCTTCATCCTTACCATAGCAGTCTTCTTCATCGTACCTCTTGGTGTTCTTCTAGTCCTCTATAGCGTCATTGCAAAGAACCTCATGGAAAACCCCGTCATAATAGCACAGAACACCAAAAATACTAGCAACACTGGAAATGTCATTCGCTATAGAAAACAGGTAATATTAATGTTAGGTACAGTAGTTCTATCATTCTTTGTATGTCTATTGCCATTTAAAGCGTTAACTTTATGGATAATTGTATTCCCACCAGAGACAATAATGTCATTAGGTATAGATGGTTATTATATACTTTTGTATTTTTGTAGAGTAATGTTATATTTAAATTCGGCGATAAATCCAATATTATACAATTTGATGTCATCAAAATTTAGAGAAGGTTTCATAAAGTTGTTGAAAATAAATAAGTTGATGAGATGCGGTAGGAATTTAAGAGTGAATATGCAAAGAAGGGACACGTTTAATACTACTACTTCTACTGGCTTTTCGAGTAGTCAAAACACATCTGATTCTTTTTGGAGGAGGTACAGTAATCGCGCGTCCTCTCAGAAGAATGTACTTAGTCGCGAAAGTAAGAAAGTTAAAGAAATAGTTGATACCAATGTGCAGCAAATGAAAGTCGGCGAAATAATTAATGTCCAGAATACAAGGCGTAATAGTATGAAAATAATAGCTGCAATGAATGATGATATACAAGTAGAAGTCCATAACGATCACATTAATGATACAGATGAAGCAATAACGTCCACTGCCACCGAGAACAATAAACAAATACAAATATTGAATTTAGATGTTAAGACCAATAATGTATATTCTATAACCCTAGATGTAAGTGATGCGAATGAAGGTAAAAATAGATTTGTATGCGTACCAAGTCAGAGTAAGGAGAATAAGAATATATTTGTATACGACTTTAAAAGCAAGGAAAGTTTTGTTTAATTGTTTTTATAATTATGACATGGGAAATTATATTGGTTTACTCTCATACTATAAATTGGATAACACACCCCAGAATTTCGAGTTTCCAGTGAGAAACACTTGGAAGTGAATGTGACGGGATATATTGGTAAAATTGGGATGTATAATCTGATTATCAAGTATCCTCTGTCCTATAATATTAGATTATATATTAATAATAATGAATACAACATACTAAACTTTGACTGTAACATACGAAATATGAATGCATATAAAAGATTCTAAATTTCAGACCAAAATTTCGTACATACCTACGTATACGTATATAATAATAAGAAATAACCTTGGACAATTAACACAGCGCCATCTAGTCTCACGATAAGCAGAGCTTGTGTTATGGGTACTAGACAACTGATATAAATACTTAATCGAACTGAAATCGATCCCGCGACCATCGGAAGTAAAGCGGTGTGCTAAACTGCTAGACCACCGAGGCAGTCATATTATTTATGAGATGTTGGTTTGAAATTGAAATCGTTTGATAACTTGGTTTATTTAAATATGTTTTCTATTACCAAGACATCTGCGTTATATATTTATTAGACATATAAACAATGTAGTATTCATAGTTTACTACGTTATCTATTATTGTATATGAGTAAAAATTTATTGTAAAGATGTTGTATTTAGGCAAAATGTCAAGAAATTCACAATAGGCCATACTGCATCTAATGGCGGGAGTTCAGCAAAATAATTTCCCAAGTACAAATAAGTTTGCTTTACAAGTCGACGACGGTGAAACGAGTTCTAGACAAACTTCGCTAACTTCTGATTACAGCTGCCACGTTTATTAATAAGATGCCTACAATTGACTTTGTACCAACCAGATTTGCATTTGATTAAATTATCCATGGTTTATTGGTTAATTTTGTTTATTTATGTCTTATTTCTGATTTTGATAAAAGCAATAAATTTATTGTTACCACAAAAGGATAAGCAACGTTGCGTAGTATAAAATTACATTAAGAATAAGTAAATTCTATAAAATAAAGGAATGATTAATTTATTTTAATTCGGTTGAAATGGAAATTGAGAGCTCACCGCGAAAAGATTATATCATTCTACTAAACCTCTAACTTATTAAAATCAGTTATTCCGTAATTTTGACTGCTTTTTCAATCAATAATAAAAGCAAAAGAGGATAGACTTATTTAGCTACGTTGCACAGTATAAAGTACATTAAGGATAAATGAAATTTATATATAAATATTTTGCTTTATATTTATATATCTTTATTTATATTTCTCATTTATATTAGTGCACCGCCAACAATCTTTCTCTCCACCACTCATGGTTAACTTGTAAATAACGCCGCAAGGTATTAAGTTCGCCATATGTGGACATTGTTTTTGTGCATTAAAGTTAAATAAATAAAAAAATAAAACTGAAATAACTGTAATAAATAGAATAATTCTAGATTTTCATTTCAATTGAGAACTCTCCGCGAAACGATGCCATCATTCTAAGCTAACTAATTAAGAATAATTTCTAGTCGTTTGCTTTTTTATCTCAAAAACATTACCTCAATATATGTATAGATAGGCTCGATAATCCAACCTCGTGATAGAAACAATTTTTTTTTCATTAAGTTTAATTTAGCCGTTAACAATGAAAAGGTTAAATAAACAGACACACTTTCACCATACATGAATATTGTTTATAACAAAAAGTGTTCTCATACACTTCTCACGTCAAATAATTCGTGGTTTTTAAATTTTGTTAATTAATTTGAATAGTTTAACATGTTACACGTGGTCTCTTTAACAGATTTTGTTTTGATTTGTAGTAGTTAATTCTTGGTGTGTGTGATTTTTACTAGTCATTTGCCTGTTTTTATGAACCAGAACTCTCATAAGAACATGCCATTTTAACTATAGCAAAGCTACTTTTAGATTATTTTTTACCTTTTTCTATAAGTACCGCTGTGGGTGTAATATCAGAGATTGGAAATTGGATTCAATTGCATCCCACTCGCAGGACTGTTCGTAGCAAACTTGTCACTAGTGAATTTATAGACGTCGCGGCGTCGTGAGTATTAATAACTTAGAAAGGCTTACGAGAAATATAGAAATGTATTTTATATTGAAACTTTAGATAGATCTAGTAAATCATTAATTTATTATTATTATAAATATTGTTTTATTGATAGAATAAAATGTCGGTTGTCGCCATTATCGAAAGAAAGTTACTTGGGGGCGCGGCGCCACTGTTTTCGCTCGGAATTCAGCAGCGCTATCTTTCCGACACAACCATTTTGAATTTATGTGAAACTTTTATGCATTTAATATGTTAAATATCTAATTAAGATTTAATTTATCTTTAAGTTAACTAATATAATTAAACAAAATAGTTATTTATATACTTAGGATAAAGGATAAAACCAAGATATTGTTTCACCGTGGTCCACGTTTATGAAAAAAAAAAGATTCTAATTTTAAAGACGTCAAACGTCTTTCCAATCTGATTTTGTTATTGCAGTATTTTGTCTCGTTAATAAGAGATACGTTTTGTATTTGAAAGAAAGAGAGAAAAACATATATAACCATATAATAAATATATTGGAAGTTTTAAATTATGGAAGTATAATATTAATATCTATTGATAGGTTAAGTTAAAGCATTTAAGCATGACACGATTTGATATGATTGAGCTTATGTATAGATCCAGCCAATTAATAGCAATGAAACCACTAGTTCTCTTATTACAAAAATCTGCAAAACGAACTATTACCCGCGACTTCATTCGCGTGTAATTTAACTTTCATTTTTAATTAAAATAAATATTTTTTCTAAAATATATGCAGCCTAAGTTACTCCTTATAACATTAGCTTTCTGCGAGTGAAAGTCTAATTAAAATCAGTCCAGCCATTTCACAGATTAGCAGGAATAAACATATATTTTTTATCAAATAAAATCAATTAATATTTTGAGATTAAAGTAGGTAGGATAGAATGTTTTGTCTCATGCAAACGTTTAAATTATTTAAAAATTAATTATGTAAAACATTTCTCGTCAGATCAATTATAAACATACATACAAATATTATTACGTACTTAAAAATTCGTTTAAAGACTATTTTAAAAACATTTATGTAGTAACCAATCATTAATAATAAATAAATTACATTAATTTATTAGTATATATGTACTTTCATAAGCATTTAGAAGAAAAGAAGCAAAATAGACAGAGTTGTACGAAAGATCGAACAGTGGGAGGTTGTACGAAATCTACTCTGCAGATTGAGTACCAAATCGAGTCATGTTTAGACGCCTATATGTACACGGTGCGATTAGTCTACTGCCAAGTAAATATATTATAATAATATATCAGTAAATTATATACTTAATATACATTTTACACATAAAATGTACGATCTTTATTTTAGTCATTAATATCCACAAATGAACGGTTGAGTTTTATTTTAATTTCGAATTCTATTACTTTAAATTCTTATCATCATCTATTAGTTTAAACGAGTAATTACTATATAATTATATTTCGTGTATTTCCGAAATGACTATAACAATTTGGATAAAATTTTGTAATTAAATGAGGCTTTGAAATTTATACATATAGGTGGTTTATCTAAAAGAAAATATATTTAACACAGTTTTTTCACACAAGAAATAAATATCTAAGTGAATAATTGCTATTAGATATATCATCAAAACTGCTTAATTCATCAACTAATTAATATAAAAACTCTATGAGATGACGCTACAAAACAGCATATCTAGCTTAAAAATATTTTGATTATGCTTTAGAAAAAATACTGAGCAAAGATAAGTTAGTCAAAAACTATCGGTGAATATGTACTTAATAACATGTACTATATAATGATTATCATAAAATGTGGCAATTGTGTATTAATTATACTATAATGTGACAAACAATCATACGGCCAGCATGATGCCTGTATATGAATTACATATCGTGCAAGTACCTAGCAATTATTTAAAAAGTAAAATAAAATACTAAGAAATAATGCAACCAATAAGAAATCTTCCATAAACGTAAAAACTAGTTTGAAAATGTTGTCCAAATCCTATATAAAGCATAAAATATAGACTGCATTTCGTTAATGTAAATTTTAGTATTTTCACTAAGTTTAGTTACAAGTGTAGTAAGTCCCTAATCAAATCTTAATACACAAATACATTATTATTGCTGTAAATTAGGATTTCGACAGACAAAAAAGTACACCAACCGCACCTCGTCTGAGCAGGCCCTAAATCACATGAACTCATTCAACGAAGAGTCTAGATTCTAGACTTCTCTCCAGAAAGTCGTTTCAGGGAAAATTGGATTTGCCGAGACAGAAATAATATCTACTTATTGCAAGCGAAGCCCGGTCGCCCACGCACTCTGAAAAATGAATCGGTAATGTTACTATTAAATTGCATCAATATTGAACTCTATTAGTTTTAACCGTTTTTAAAGTGGAAAGAAATCGCAATTCAATGATATTTTTAATAAAAAATATCTTCGAATTGCCATCTTCTTCACTTGACAATAATCAATTCTGAACCTAATATCATTATGCATTCGTTTTATATTTGATATCTTTCCAATTTGATTCCATACTAAATTTGAGGAGATTCAAATTGGTTATTTGTGTGGATCAATATATTAATTAGAGGTACTATATTTAAATATATATAATGTATTATTACAATTATGTACAGCCATTGTGTATGCAGTTAAATATATGTTTATAAAAACTTTTCAATTTTTATTTTATTTATAACAACCCTATTACATTTTTTTTTATTTTATATGTTAGGTAAAATACTTTGTGTAAGTGAGTAGTGAGGATAGTGAGGTAAGAATATCCAGTACCTGTGTACTCTTTTTAGTGTTTCCTGGGCTCTTTGTCACTTACCAGTCCAGGTGATGTTTTCACTTTCTATATTGTCATAGGTAAGGGAAAAAGGAGGAAGCAGAAACATCAAAATGGTAAT